TCATATAAAAATACGGCATGCAGTTGCATCAAACAATGGTATAAACATAATTCAATGTAAATTGTGATAATCGTAATTAATAATCGCAATTACAATTTCAAGGGAATAATCGACAATTATGATTTTTGTCATAATCGTGCAGCCCTAGTGGCTAGTTCTAAAAACTGAAATACAAATGCATAAATGTATTTCTATTACCAACAGAAACCATCTATATATTTAGGTAAACCCTAATTCAAAGAATCAAACACTGTTTGATAGATGAAGGACTGTTCAATGATCTAGACACACTGTATATGGATACAGCCAGAAAGAATGCTCATTGTGGGGGAAAAAAAACTTGGTCACCATAGTTAATTACAAATTAATTTCTATGGGGAAAATAAGGAGAAATATACATCTGACAATTTTTTTTAGTTTTTATAAATGACTTCACAAAGTCCAGCATATTAAATAAAAGACTGCTGTGAATTCAGCAATAATGATGTAAGACATTTTTTTTTTTTCTCCTTTTTTTTTCCTGTTTTGTTGAAGTTATTAACAGTGCATCTTTCTCAATAGAAACATTTTTGAGTTAATTTACTTATTTCAAAGCTTCTTCAGATGCTGCTTTCAAAAACTGACCAAATAAACTTCTCTCAGAAGATACTACATAATTATTGAATTGTACATGTCTTAATGCCTTCCTATCCCTGAATGGCATTTTTCAGCATTTGGACACAGCCAATGACATAGATGAAAATGAAGAGTTTGGATTAGTAAAAAAAAAAAAAAAAGAACAGGTGGGCGTGACTTACCACCACTGAGCAGCTTCATGACCAACCACAGCTCATCTTTCACCACGAACGAGGTGTAGTACGACACAATGTTGGGATGGTGACACTGGCTCATCCCCTGAATCTCTTTCTAGAGAAAGAAAAAAAAGAGACAATCACTCTTCATTGACAGCAACCCGATTTAACCAATATCCTTTCTAAATGATTCAGAGTGTGCGATAATTGGACAAAACAATAATTTGCTTCCGTCAGGGAATTACACGCAGGAATTAGCACATGTGCTGGTCATAGACTAAAGCAGCTCTCTGTGTATGCAGTCATATAGTATGCGGTCCAGAATGCACTGGGCCTCATGGCGAATAACTGTGGTGCCTCACAATGGTGCCATTCCAGATCTGGATTAATGTTTAAACAAGTCTGGCTCAGTTGGAGAGTTGGCAAATCTTCAGAATCAGTGCTGATATTTACATACGTCAGGTGAAATAGTAGTTTTTATTAGCTCACTCGTATAAGAAGCACCTCCAGCCCCTTCCACTGACCGCAAAGCACGTACAAACATTAAAAATAAACAACATCCATCCAAGCATGCTGTAAACACCATGACACCTTCATCTGACTGCCTTACAGCCTGTTCCAAATAACCAAGGAATCCAAATAAATAGATGTATATGTTACTGTCAATATCCAGAAAAACGCCGCTGCTAGATATATTTTTCAGCATTCGTAAAACAAAAGGAAAAACAAGCCGTTTTCTTCTCCATCCCATTTAGTTGCTAGTCTTTCTAGTTGATGGAGCAGTTGAAGTGAAACACTTGCAGCTCGGAGAGATTGACAGCTGAGGTAATGTTGGGACTGCGGCCGAATCCATCCCTCTGAGCTTTCCCCGACTCATTTGATGGTGGGGGCTTACTAATGATATTACAAAGCAATTCTGCCATTTCTATTTGGCTGTCAGGCCCAGACTTGTTCAATTTGTTACATGCAATGCAAAGCAATCAATAAGAGAAACTAAAAACACTGCATGGTTAATGCTAATGAATGGCCACATGACTTTATACCTTCACAATGCTGAAGCTTCATACCATCTTGTGGTGTTTTGTTAAAATTAAAATGAATGGGGACCAGAGCTTTAAAGCGGATACAAAAGCACCATAAAAGTGGCCATTTATTGCTGTTATATGGAAAAATGTGTTTTTTTTAAATAATAATAAAAAAATGCTGTAAACAAAATAAAATATAGCTTCAGAACATATGCAAGAGCACTATAAAAGCGCCCATTCATTGCAGTCACATGGAAAAGAGTAACTTACTTTAAATAAGAAATGTATTTTGATGTGTTTTTTCATTTTTTTTATATATTTAAAACAAAACCAAATAAAATAGCTTCAAAAAAGATGCAAAGGCACAATAAAAGTACCTATTTAATGCAGTTACAGTGGGTATAGAAAAGAATCACCCCCTTTAAAAATCACATTTTGTTGTTTTGCAGCCTGAAATAAAGACAGACACAGTCTTTGTTTTATTCAGCTGTATTTACTCAGTGCAACTTATAACATCAAAGTGAAAGATATACGAACTCCAACATGTCAGAAAAAAATAAAAACAGAATCACTGAGTTGGAATAAGGATCACCCCCTCCTACAAATGACTGTTAAACTCAATCAGGTGTAGCTAATCACCTTCTCAATGGCACACAAAGCCATTTGACTTTCAACTGTGGTCAGCTGTGGTCATTTTGATCAATTCAGCATGAAAAGTGCTTTCCTGGAGCATTTCAGTCCTTGGTAGTGCAACTGAAGAAAACAATCAACTATGGGTGGCAAGGCACTGTCAAAAGATCTCCGGGATAAAGTTGTGGACAGGCACAAATCAGGAGATTTGACAAAAATTTCAAAGGCTTTATCAATGCCTAGAAGCACAGTGAAGTCTGTTATTAAGAAGTGGAAGGTATTTGGTACAACACAGACCCTCCCTGGATCAGGACATCGCTCCAAACTGGATGAAAGAGCCAGGAGGAAACTGGTCAGAGAGGCGACTAAGTTTCCTTAAAACATAGTGTGTGTTGCAGCTCTTTGATCTCAGCATGATGAGCAAAGCGTTTTGATCAAATTATTCCTTAGTCCAACGATGAGTAATTCACATTACAAAAGAAAGAATGAAAGACATAAAAAAAACCGATCCGAACAGTTGATGGGCACCATTGACTTCCATAGTATTTTTTCCTACTATGGAAGTCAATGGTGCCAATTAACTGTTCGGATTCTAACATTGTTCAAAATATCTTCTTTTGGGTTTGGAACAAGTGGAGGGTGAGTAAATGATGACAGAATTTTCATTCTGGAAGTGAACTACTCCTTTAAGTCAGGTGAAACCAGATTTTCAGGTGTCAAACATTCTAATGTTGAAAAGCCAAACCTAAAAAAAACACAAAAGACTATTGCAATCACTACTCAATAGTGCAGTACAGGAATGACAGAAATGGCAGGGACCCAAGTATGAAATCAGCATGCCTCAACTCAACCTGTTCTAAAGCCTGCATTTACACTGCATACAATTTACACATACACTTCCCTTCTAAATTAACTAAGGTTTGAATATAAGCAAATGCTGCTTTGTAAACCATTCAAGTATGGTAATGAATTGAACCAAAAAATGCAGCCATGTTGTAATTAAGTGCACCACTCTGCTTCAAATATATGGGACGGGTTGCAGCAGTCTCCTCCAATATTTAGATAAAAAAGTCAATAAGAAAACATGCCATTTTAAGTTCTTGAAAAACAACATGGCAATTGAACTTTCCAAGTCGAGTCTTCAAATGACCCTGTGAACATGAGCCATGGTTTCCACTGACCCAAAAAAAAAAACTTACAAGTGCAATCATGTATGCCAGTCAACACAAAGCTCTTCTCGTGCCAAAACCGTGGGATCACTGACACCCCAACAGTGGGCCACTGGACATTGCCCACCCCTCTGTCCCAAAGCTGGACTTAATTCAACAATTCAGGCAGCTTTGGCTGGCTCCACAAAGCCTGTGTCCACTTCCATGATGGACACCAGGTTGAGTGAACAATAATAAACGGGGCGGGCTTTGGACGTTCACTGGATGCTAGCGCTCCATCTGCATTCTCACAGTAGAAGCCAAGGGTCATCTCAGCTTGGCTGGCCGATGTCTACCCGAGAGAGACAAAAACAATGGGCTGAACAGGGAGGGTTACATCAAGAGACTGTTTGCCACCCGATTTGTGTACGTCCAGAGGACAATGAGCAAAGAAAAGCACTGAGACTCTTTGTCTGCGGTTATGTCACTGCCGTTCTGCCACCATGCCCAGTAGAAAAAACACTTTCCTTCTTCCTCAGGGCAAATTTCTCACTCACTATACAATGTTCTCCAGTAAACATTTCCACCTGAATTAAAATTACATTAAAGCCTGGGATAAAATTTGTGAATATGGTTATTCAGTCAAATTCATATGCATCAAGACTATCCACTGACAAGTACTTCGAATTTAAAGGGGTCATATAATGCTACATGCACTTTTACAAGTTGTTTGAACTGAAATGTATGTTGGCAGTGTGTACTCAACCACCCTAAAATGATAAAAATCCACCCAGTGGTTTTTTGTTAATCTACTAAAATTTTTACCCCTTTCTCAAATCAAGCTGATCTCAGATGCCTGTTTGTGTGACGTCACACAGACAGGCCCCTCCCATGATAGTTTGATTGACAGTAGCGTTTCAGCACAGACTGGACTGGTGTCTTACCTTAGACCCGCCCTGAGTGAGCTGTCATCAGTTCGCCATTGTTTCACCGCCGGATGTAGCAGATGTAGACAAGAATGACTCCTAAGCGATTGAGGTGTTCTGTTGTTGGATGTAATAATGAACATAGCAGTCGTTGTTTACTCCCGACATCTGAACCTGAAATCAGCATGCCTCAACTCAACCTGTTCTAAAGCCTGCATTTACACTGCATACAATTTACACATATACTTCCCTTCTAAATTAACTAAGGTTTGAATATAAGCAAATGCTGCTTTGTAAACCATTCAAGTATGGTAATGAATTGAACCAAAAAATGCAGCCATGTTGTAATTAAGTGCACCACTCTGCTTCAAATATATGGGACGGGTTGCAGCAGTCTCCTCCAATATTTAGATAAAAAAGTCAATAAGAAAACATGCCATTTTAAGTTCTTGAAAAACAACATGGCAATTGAACTTTCCAAGTCGAGTCTTCAAATGACCCTGTGAACATGAGCCATGGTTTCCACTGACCCAAAAAAATAAACGTACAAGCGCAATCATGCCAGTCAACATAAAGCTCTTCCCGTGCCAGCCCAAAGCTGGGCTTAATTCAACAATTAACAATTCAGTGGCTGGCTCCACAAAGCCTGTGTCCACTTCCATGATGGACACCAGGTTGAGTGAACAATGAACAATAGGGCGGGCTTTGGACGTTCACTGGATGCTAGCGCTCCATCTGCATTCTCACAGTAGAAGCCAAGGGTCATCTCAGCTTGGCTGGCCGATGTCTACCCGAGAGAGACAAAAACAATGGGCTGAACAGGGAGGGGTACATCAAGAGACTGTTTGCCACCCGATTTGTGTACGTCCAGAGGACAATGAGCAAAGAAAAGCACTGAGACTCTTTGTCTGCGGTTATGTCACTGCCGTTCTGCCACCATGCCCAGTAGAAAAAACACTTTCCTTCTTCCTCAGGGCAAATTTCTCACTCACTATACAATGTTCTCCAGTAAACATTTCCACCTGAATTAAAATTACATTAAAGCCTGGGATAAAATTTGTGAATATGGTTAAATCAGGTGTAGCTAATCACCTTCTCAATGGCACACAAAGCTGTGATCAGCTGTGGTCATTTTGATTAGTTCAGTATGAACAGAGCTTTCCTGGAGCATTTCAGTTCTTGGTAGTGCAGCTGAAACAAACAATCAACTATGGGTGGCAAGGCACTGTCAAAAGATCTCCGGGATAAAGTTGTGGACAGGCACAAATCAGGAGATTTGACAAAAATTTCAAAGGCTTTATCAATGCCTAGAAGCACAGTGAAGTCTGTTATTAAGAAGTGGAAGGTATTTGGTACAACACAGACCCTCCCTGGATCAGGACATCG